GATTGGAACGGCATGAGTAACGTCAAAAGACTGGGTCAAGAATGTTGATTGGTTGATAACGTCAAATTTGCTTCCGGTCAACGTTCGTGTTGCCAAACACGCAACGCATAAGCTCGCTAGTTAGTGTGACAACAGAAGCCATTTTGGCACGCTGTAAGAGCAGCCCGCAACCACCTGGAGAAAAAAATAGGGTCGGTAGAAAAAAATAGGGTCGGTCCGGAACCACAGGTATTTTTTTAGGCTTTGTATTTTTTGCAGCTGTTCCTGGTTAGGTCTAATAAATGTATATAAATTCAAAAACCACTCTACCACTCGAAAACAAGATCCTTCAACTAAATTTGACTAACTCTGTTTCCATCGTTGCTGTTTCCTTCGTTGCATCATTTACCGCGCCAATCACAAAACAGAATTAGTGGTTTTAGTACAAAACCACTAATTCTGTTTTGTGAATTGGCGCGGTTTAATCAAAGAATCTTCCCGTTGAACCAGAGCCTTCGCGACGTTTCAATTTATTATTTACTGTCGAAGGCTCTGGAATCCAGGGTATCATTAGTCGGGCAATTTGTACTTACTGTCGTTCCAATTGAAGTGTTGCTCAAATATTGATTCAATACATTACCTCGGGCTGACCAATTCATTTCATCAAGTTCCTCGAGATATTCATACACTTGCTAGTATTATTGTAAACTTCCTGTTGAAAATGTACTAAAACCACTAATTCTGTTTTGTGATTGGCGCGGTTTAATCAAAGAATCGCCCCGTTGAACCAGACGGCCTTCGCGACATTTCAATTTATTAGTTTACTGTCGAAGGCTCTGGAATCCAAGGTACCCGAGGTAATGTATTGAATCAATATTTGAGCAACACTTCAGTTGGAACGACAGTAAGAGTTAAGAGTAGGGCAATCTTCCTGTGTACTGACTAATCAATTTGGTCTTTCCAACAAATGTTATTAATAGTAAAAATGCGAAATATATGCTAAAATATATAAACTAGAATATATGCTTGCATAAAAGTGACAAAAATAATTAAAATAAACGGATGGACTCCAGTCTTCTATAAAGCAAATTCCATCTTGTTAACGATTTCAACTACGTCATTGATGTTCTGCAGAGAGAACTTTCAGTCTAACGAAGGGTGAGGACGTACCTTCGTTCCACAATGGGTAAAGACAGAATCATTGATGTTTTTGGCCAACGAAGTCACCGTGCCTCACATTTCTTTTGACAGTATATACATAATATAATACACGGGATAAACTTGCAGGGGAGATTAGGTTAAGTTTTCGGTAAAAGTTGCATTTATGATATTAATTAAAATAGTCATCATTTTGTTTCATTAATTTTCTCTTCGTTCCTCGCCTGCTCCAGGCACAAAATTTCACCCCAAAACGCTGGAAATGGCATTTTAGAGGCTCTACATTTCAAAATTTCCCGGGGGCGCATATGCCCACGGAGCCCCCTAGCAGTTCTCGCGCTTTTGCCGCTCGTCGGGCAGATTGGCATCCGCACCCCTTAAATTTCTAAGCCCGTACGCCTTACTAGTAGGCCTATGCTTCGAATAAATTTAGTTAAACTTCGCCTTTGACAATCCATAGACAATTCCTCCCCTACAGCACAGATGATAGATTATACCAGATGAATCACTGTGTATATATCCCCTATGATTTTCGCGAGTCTATCACGGCAGATGACGCGTGCTACACTTACTGCCAAAATGGCGCTTACTGCCAAAATGCGTGATTGCTCACGTTTCACGGCGTGGATTACACTTACTGCCAAAATGGCGGTCAACGCATAGAGATTATAAATAACACAAGGTGGCTGCTCCATTTACTGTTCGGGGTACTCCGGATTTTCGGAACACTAATTGATCGAACCGAAAACGGTCACATGACTGTTCTGAATGCCCCTACTCAAAATGTGACCGTCAGAACAGTCATGTGACCATTATTGGTTCGATTTAATTAGTGTTTCGAAAATCCGGAGTACTCCGACAGTAAATGGAGCAGCCTCTAGAGGAGGCATCGGGTTTAAAAATTGGGAACGCAGCTAATGGGGGGCAAATTCAAGTCCCGGATATAAAATCGTGCTCTCATTGGCTGATTTGAACTCGTCACCAACGGGAACACGAATACACATCCGAGACTTGAATTTGCCCCCCAATAGTCGCGTTCCCTTTTTTTTACTGAATTAAGATTACAATGCCTCCTCTAGTGTTATTTATAATCTCTATGGGCCAACGCGTGTTCATAAAAAATCGCGGACACAATTTTGGCTGAGTGATTCATCTGGTATTATCTATCATCTGTGCCTACAGGCCCTACTTATCCTTCTAGCCCGAGAAACACACCGTTATTCAGGATAAATATTGTAATATCAGAATAAACTAGGTAAAATTCATCAACTTTTATAGTGCATGCAAGGAAAATGTTGTCAAAAATAGGGAAATTTTGAGCAATTGAGAAGGAAATAATTTTTTGAGAGTGGAAGCCACTGAGCTATGGTGGAAGCATAGGTGGAAGCACTGATGGCGCGACCTATGAAATGAAAATGGACGGAGTGAAGCATTGAGAAGGATGGAAGGATGGTAAATGAATCAATTTGTATTTAGGTATTATTTGTTTGACTATTTTACAATATATAAGTCTATTTAATTAAAACGGTATCCGTTTACTGGTATTAAATATAACCATTCTGAAGATGTGTTTATCTCATTATATCATGCACACCGTTTATAAAACCACCCTTAAAACACATAGACTGTATGAGGGAAACCTAGTTACAATTTAGAGTATTTTTTAATGCAAAATAATAAAATAAATACAAACACAGAGTTTGGGCCACCTGTGATATACTGACCAGTATGAACTGGTGTAAACCAGTTATTACCAGTGGTGGGCCGTTCAGCCTCTGTGGTTCAGCAGAGGTGGTTCAGTAAAGTCGCATATTTATTTTGACAAAGAAACGTTTCGCCTTTTGGTCGTTTTGGAACGTTTTTTGATAAATATACATTATTATCAGAATGTTTTCTGTTCTCTTTTGGTTCACGTCGTTTCTGAACGGAATATGTAAAGATTCCGTTGATTTCCCAACGGTATAATGAACACGTACAAACGTCTGTTACGACTGCATGCTCACATGCATGTCACTATTATATTAGTTTAACTAATATGTTTATTTTGATATTTTCTATAATCTTTGCTTCGTAAATGTATATGTACAGTTGTGGACAACGCATGAGAACTATGTTTTTCCGTACAACATGTTACAGTATTCTCATATTCTGTATAGGATGATGATGATGCAACTCCATCGCGACAAGAACGAAGGGCGAGTGAGAACTTAAACGTGGAGTCCAAGGAAGAGAAAGTGAGTTAGCTTACAAAGTTGTATGATGTACCGTTTCATTATAGTCAAGGGGAGATTCTTGAGTGTTCAATTAATGCACCTGTCAACGCCCTGCCCTAGACTACACCCCAGGGGAAATTATGCCATTTTAACCACAACATTTGCCCTCAGGGTCACAGGGAATTTCAGAACTTTGCAATTTTGATTATGGCTGTTAAGGCCTAATTCCATGACGAGCGAAATGCGAAAAATTTCGTGAAAACACACTTGTGCGAAAATTTTCTCTCATTGTTATTTCCATAGTAGAAAAAAAAAATAGGCCAAAACACAAGTATTTGATTGGCTTTCCTATTTTGTCGTCCAAAACACAAGCATTTGATTGGCTTCACTATTTCCATTTCACAACGGAGTAAAAACGAATTCAACTACCCGGCGAAGAGAAATATTTTTCGTAGAGAAACACTACAAAATCAGGTTGAGCATGCGTTCAACCTTTTCGCACGAAATTTTTCGCATTTAATTGGCTTGTTGTGGAATTAGGCCTTTATAGAGCTGTTCCCATCGGTTAATTTTCGTTATCGGTTAATTGTTGTCAACAATCGACTAAATATATCGATTAATCATATTGATAATTAATTTAAATAATTATGACAAGTCCATGGTGGTTAATGACTCGGGTTTGTAAATTGGTAGATGTCTGCACATCGCAATGTTGGATGCAAATGGTAATAAATTAATAAATTCTTCTAATAAAATATATTTTCCCAGTACTGGTAACCCTATCAGACTATGGTAAACTTTGCATGCTGCGAGTCAAATATTTGATATTTGACGCACAATTTTATTCACAATTTTGTTGTTTTATTTGGGAAAGAAATTAATTCATTCCCACATCACGCTGTGTGGTGTTATAGATATCTGATTACTTTAAGCATAATCGATTGCAGAAAAATAATCAATTGATATTAGATTAATGAAGATCAGCTCTACCCAATTTGCAGTATGTTGAAATATTAATAATGTACGAGTCAAATCCAACCATGCATAATTCCCCCACCCAGGGACGTGTTGTGTGGGGGTGAACTCAAAAGTTTTGTGGAAAATGTTGGCGAGGGGGGGGATAGGTATATGTTTTCCTGAAAATTAAAGGTCAAAAAACCTCAACAGAGATAGAATGAGTCATTCCAGAAAAGATCCACACACTCCCCTCACAGAGGAAATTTTTGCCGTTCAGAGGGGGAGGGGAGACA